AGCGCGCCCACCTGAGCCCGTCTGCGCCCACCTGAGCCCGCACGCCGGCGCCATGGCCGAGCAGGAGAGCTTGGAGTTCGGCAAGGCGGACTTCGTACTGATGGACACCGTCTCCATGCCCGAGTTCATGACCAACCTTCGGCTCAGGTGAGGGCGGAGTGGCGGTGCGCCCGGGCGGGAGCCTGCGCTTTCCCGAGAGGGGGCGCCCTTGCGGTGCGGCGGGATTGGGGGTGTCAGGGGCGCGCCGAGCTCGAGGGTTGGAGTGCGGCCGGATGGTAGTGTCCGGGGGCCCGCCGGAGCTCCGTGGTTGCGCCTTCCCGAGGGAGGACGCCCCGGGGTGCGGCTGCCTGGGAGGGTAAGGGGCGTGCCGAGCCCCAGGGCTGCGCCCTCGGGAGACGGGTGTCCTGGGTGCTGTCCGGACGCGGGGGGGGAGGGGTGCGAGGGGTGTGCGGGCTGGAGGCAGCGCTTGGGGCAGGGCCAGCTAGCTCGCTGCCCCAGGTAAGTGATGTGGGCGGGCCGGATGACCTAATGGAAACAAAAGTAAAGGAAAACGCAAACTTCAGGGAGAGTTGTGTGGCGGCCACAAAGGCCCTGGGAAGACGGGAGGGTTGTTTTGTAGAGATATTCGGGTCTCATCCTGGTTTCGCACTTGGTTTTCTTTTTCTCCAGTTTTTTTTTTTTTCCTGGCATGGTTCCATCATGTCATTCAGGATGCTATGGAGTAGTGATCCCTGAGCTTGTCTGTTCCAGGACACTGGCTATTTTTTTAGTTACTTTCTAAACGTAATTAGACACGTTTCCAGACATCGAAGAGACTGCTCTGCTTGCCAGTGCCAAGATAAACTGTCTGAATTTGACAAGGCGTTCATGGTTTCAGTTTTTTTCAAGGAGTTATGGATGGAGCCCTTGTGTTACTGACATCCTTGAAAATGTAGTCACAACTCAACGCCCCGAAATGGGCTTACAAGACGAATTTATTTTAGAAACTCTACATGTGATTATTTCACTCCTGATAGAGTATAATAAACAGAACTTTAGTTTTGACTTTTTTTTTGGTTAAACATTACAGTAAATGGAGTTTCAAAATAACGGAGTTTGGAGGCATGGGGTGGTTCCTGGAAGTTCTAGCCCAATTTCTTGTAAGGTTTATAGCTAAATATCACTCCATAAGCTTATAAAGTGAAGATCATGATCTAGGTTTGAGTGCTTAACTAACTCTGCTTCTCAGTAATAATTACCTCTGTTCGTTTTAACTTAAGAATTTTTTTTTAAGATTTTATTTATTTTTTTGACAGAGAGAGACAAGAGAGAGGGAACACAAGCAGCGGGAGTGGGAGAGGGAGAAGCAGGCTTCCTGCCGAGCAGGGAGCCTGAGGCGGGGCTCAATCCCAGGACTCTGGGATCATGACCTGAGCCGAAGGCAGACGCTCAACGACTGAGCCACCCAGGCGCCCCTAAGTTAAGAATTTAAAGAAAGTTTTTAATCTTTGGAATTGCAAACCCCATAGGGTCTTCTTCTCTCCTCCAGGCTTCCCTATGTCCCAGAGTATGGAGCAGGGGTGCAGTTCTGAGTTCTACATCTGCCTACTACAAGCTGACCTCGAACCAGTCTGTGTGTCTATTTGTAAAATAGTGAGGATCTTCAAGATTTTTCAGCACTTACGTTCTTTTCTGCTTTTACATATTATTGGTCCCAAAGTCTCTAAGTGTGAGGTTTGAATCTTAAACATTATTAAAGTGAGCCTAACTTAACCTTGCAGTTTAGTTCTACATTGTGCAAGGTAATTTAGGAGGTAAAGTGGGAGGATCCCAAGAACTATAAGATGTATCCTTATCTCTCAAAGAGGTGACAGTGCTAATCAAGACAGGGAGAAAGGTGGAAATTCCTCTTGATTTAAATAGTAAATCAAGAAAACAATAGAAGAGTTAAGCTTTGTAGAGCTTAGGTGATTTGTTGCCAAGAAATTGTACACGCTAATTGTTCTGGAGTTCAGAAGAGGGCGAGGTGCTTTAGGCTAGCTCATAAACACGAGGAGAGAGGTTCAGATGAGTTGCAAAGGATGGGTAGGGTTTGTCTAGGTGGAGAACATTCCAAGTGGATGCAGTGGCATGCGCAGAGGAGTGGAGGCATGAAAGCTGATTCTGTTTGGGTGGTAGTGAACATACTAAGTTGCTGGAGGGGAAGGAGTTGATGTTGGGGAGTTGTGGGAGGAATCACCAGCTCATTAGCACGACCCTTGGCTAATGCCCAGGTTTCTGGGGCTACCTTCACACCCAGTCAGTGAGTCAGTCAAGATCCTGGCCGTTCAGACATGCGCATGTATCTGTGTGTGTACTTGACGACCCTGAGAATTGGCTGCAATTCTCAATGTACATCTTTCAGTGATTGTTCATGGTTTACTTATAAGCTGGGAGTAGTAGGTTCCCAGTAGCCGTAAACACAGTCTCAGCAGAGTGTAGCAGCAATACCCTTGCCCTCTTTAGTTGTTAAATCCTGATTACCCAGGTGGAAAGCAGTCCTCTCTCTGATAGTTTGGATTTCCTATTGCCCTGTTATCCCTCCAGACTGTTTTAGTGTTTAGCTGGATGAGCTTCCGGGCTCACGCTGTTGCGACCCTTGAAACATTTGTTTCACTTTGCAAAAGGTGACTAGAAACACCGCAGGTCCCAGTGCTCTGGATGTTGAAGTGTTTTTATCTCCTGGAACATGGGTGGTTGGGCCAGGCGCGTGTAATTTATGGTTGTATATGGGCAGAATTTGCGTGTTTCATCTCTCCGTGGATGTGTGTGCATGAGCCCGATCATTCGCGATCATTCGTGCCTTCCCCAGGTTGTGGCTCCTTCTCTCACTTCTGTCAGGAAGGTCCTGTCTTCTGCTCTCTCCCCTCCCTCCCCCCCCACTCTTCTGCACGGCCCTCTTCATTTGTGGTCGGTGACATAGGTACTGAAGAAAACACTGGTTTCAGGGGTATGTGCCATCCAAACCCGATTGTAATTTTCCTGATACCAGCTCCCAGCGTAACACTGGGCACATAATACATTCCTTGGAACAACGCTTTTTGTAGAGCAAGAAGAAAAAGAGGGAAAAAGTTGTATCTTTAAAGCTTTTATGATGTTCATTTAGAATTATCTTTTTACTTTGCTACTCTGCTGGCCTCCTTTTCCCCTCTTGGAGCTAACACTTGATTTTTAGACATTTGCTACAGTTGATGTAACTTTCCTCATACTATTATTATTTTCAAAAATTGATGTAGGTGTGTGTCTGTACCTGTGAGTCTGGATGAGGCAAGATTTAAGGGGTGATGTGGGTTAGTGTGAGTTAGTATTATCTGTGAAAGAGTTACACTTCTCTTTCTTACCCTTATATGAAAAACTGCTAGTATTTTGAAGGCTGCTTTCTTTCTCTCCTAGAAGTCCCTTGCTGGGGGAGATCTGTTCTATTTAATTCTTTTTCCTTTTTTGGTGGTGGTGGTGGTGGTGGTGGTGGTGGTGGTGAGCTCCTCACTGCATTTTTAATGGGTCTGTGCCCAGGAGTAAGATTGCTGCATAGACACCTCTTGCCTTCATGGTCAGGCCTGGTTCCTTCCAACAGCCCTAATGACCACTTGCAGCGCTGGCCACAGTGTCCTCAACATATTCTGCTTTCTTTGCAGCCCCTTACTTTTGGGACCTGGAACCCTTTGCTGGGCCATCACTGTGCTTGAGTCCTTCCAGCCTTAGCAGCAGCTTTGCACCCTCTCTCGAATTGAGAATCCCGTGAGCGCGAGCTGCATGGAGCAACTGCTCCTCACTCCCCACTTAGTCCTGTGAGCAAAAGGGAGAAGGCAGACCGCTGCTCAGGGCTGGGCCCTGGCCGAGGACCGCATCCCAGACAGATGTGCTTTTCATTTCACTGGGCAATGAAATGCCCCGTAGGCTTCCAGGAGTCCAGTTTCCTAATTTTGTTGGTGATAGTTCCTGTTTTGAGAATAAGGCGTCTGCTCAGCCTGGTATCTTGGCTCCTTGGAAATTTAATTTTTCCTCCCCTCTTTCCTTACTGTTTTTTCTCTTCCATAAAAGTAGTCGTTTGAAACACTGTTTGCCAGAGTCACAGGCAACTTCTTAACACAGCATGTCTGTTACACTTTTGCTTAGACCAGGGCTTCTCAACTGCAGCACTCTTGACACTTGGGCGTGGATAGTTCTTTATTTTGGGGGGCTGTCCTGTGCGTTGTAGATCTTTAGCAGCATCCCTGGCCTCTACCCACCAGATGCCAATAGCACTACTTTCCTCCCATTTATGACAGCTGAAAATGTTTGCAGATATTGCCAAATGTCCCCTGCAGGGAGGTGGGGGGGGGTGCAAAATTGTCTCCAGTTGAGAACCACTGGCCTCAGTTGTTCTCATTCCCTGGAATGTCCTCCTCCTTCCCTCCCTCCTGCTCACATGCTCTGCTTGTCACTCTTACTCAACTTTTGAGACCAGTTCTGCGAAGTCTTTCCCAGTCCTCTGAGTCAGGGTTCATTCTACTCTTACCTGTGCTCCCAGGACACATGGACACTTGGTCCTCACTGTTAGAGAGAATGTATCAGGTCATGTTGTTGTTACCTGCATGCCTGCCTTCCCACCCAATAGTGAGCTCCTCAAAGACAGAGAGCGTCATCCAGAGGTGGATCCAGGTTTTGTGGCCCTGAAAACTCATTACAGTTGTGGGGGTGGGGGGAACCATGTTTAAGAAAAAGAGTATAAATTGTGAATGCCAAATTAGATATAGGCTTTGGAAGGGGACAGTGCAGGTGGGTAGTGGTGAAGCAAACCCATCGCTGGTCCCCTTGTGTTTCCTATCATGCTGGGCACTATGTGTTCAATACATTTTTAAATGCGTTCACTAAACAGTCAAATGTTGGTTGATCTTCAACCAGTGGAATTCTTAACTTAAAAAAGCATACAATCTTCTCAAAATGTTGTAGTTATTTTAATACAGCTTAACTATGTCGGGGAAAGGGGGGAATGAGCTGTAGCATTACTTACGCAGGCACGTACACACACTCACTCACTCACTCACTCATTCACTCACCACGCCACCTCTGTACTCTTTCCCTGTGGCTGCTCGGTCATTTGGAAAATTTGGTGAGACAAAGGGCCCCTCTTTCTTGCCTGGGGCAAAACCTTAGGTACTCTGGGTGGTCTTAAAGCAAGTGTAACTCTGCAGTTGGTTCAGAGTTCTAGTTAGAAGTAGCTGCAGTTAAATTTATAGGAGAGGTGAATGGCACACTAAATCTTTTTGGCTTCCATGTGAAATTCTTTGGCAACCACTTTTAGAGGCCTTCGGAAAAGGACAGTTTGCTCTGTGCCTGTTTTGCAC